ATTGGAAAGTGCTCCAGCTAATGCCTGATCGGTCGAAACTTGCACTAAAGGTAACTCGGTCAAATTAACATCCACCTCTGGCTCGGTCTGAGCGACCTCTTCCATATAAGCCTCCACATTTAAAGTTTGAACCATCTCCGAGTTACCGACTTCCTCAGGGCCATCTTGATTATCCAAATCCACTACCGGAGTTGTATGAGCCCCGGTCTCAAGAGATTTCGGTGTAGATGATCTTTGCCTCAAAGCTTTGACTAAATTCTTCCTCGTCATGCTTGTCAATCTCTGTGAACGATTTTTTCCGATCTTGCTCCGAAGTTCTTTGTTTGGGAAGCGGCGTCGAAATTCCTTTGCTGCCTCAATCGTCTTGAATCCCGAAAAGCCTAGCAAAGGGCTTAAATAGAGTGTCAACTGTTGCCGAAGATAATCCTGCTGATTCAAGCCTCGCCTCCGAGATTAAGTCCTTGTAACTCCGCAAAGAATCTTTCAGTTTGAACAAAGTAACTAATACTCCTACGAATTCCGGGCTCAACTTCGGCTCCTTTGTCCACTTTGCTACAAACACGAAAATCCGACCTATTAGTACACGAAATACGACTAGTAAGAAAAAACCGAACATAAAAAGTATCAAAAAGAACTTACAATATACGGAAGAAATATTCATGGGTATTGTCATATTATCTACAGGAGTCTCCTCGGCAAAATCTGCAGATTGCCAGTCACCTCCTACCCATAACCACTCTTCTTGAACCCATGAAGAGTGTCTGGAACATCCTTGATCAAGTCGCCAATCTTAAAACCGGTACCCGCCTTTGCACCAGCAAAGAAGCTGAACGAAGGCTCAGCTACTTTTCTGTTTGAACTCCTCTTCAGGGTGTAAATGCTCCTTATATCTGCACATGACGGCAGTCCATACCTCTTTTAATGCGCCAATACCATTGTTGTGTACTAATTAATCTTTTTACCGAGTACCGAATCAAAAGATTCGTTCCCCGGGTCGATCTCACGAGGAAGGCGGTTCGGAATTTAGAAATGGTATCGATCACACACAAAAGAAAATAAAATCCTAAACACTCTAATCAGATAAGGGGGATGAATAATTATCAACTAAGAAATAAATAATAATGCAAAAATTTAAATCTACCTAAGAGTATGGATGACACGAAGATGGAGAAGCTAGAGAATAGGGATAATTAATTCAAGTTTTAGCAAAGTCGGGCATTCAATTGTTCAGTTCAAGATTGACACTCTTGCTTATACATCTAGAGGTTCTCTCCCAATAACTTTTCGTAACAAGGGATTGAACATAAACGTACAAGCTCGAGCATACAATACGGGCCAACTATCCCAATCCCAATAACTTTTCGTAACAAGGGACGGGTCATCGACTCGCACGTATTTCAACCGAAAACCTATAGGCTATTCAATTACGAAATCATCTACCTCATGTGAGTCTATTTCTACGACTTCTCCCCTTTCGGTTCTGAAAGTCGCTAATTTAACTAGAAGAGTATTAATCAACTAATCGCATAGAATCAACAAAACCCTAACTCGACTAATCAATATTCAATTATTTCTAATTGCAAGATCGAAGTGTCACTCTTCGATTATATCAACAAATCAAGCATGAATTCATTAATTCCTAATCAATTCAACCCACACAAGCATGAACAAATCAAAGCCCGACAAATGCATGTTAAACAAGAACAATCATCCCCTATCCCTAACAATATGAATTAGCTAAGCAACATGAATTCAACACAATTCATCATCTCTCTCAATTCAATCATTCACATGAATTAAAAATAAAGAGAAGACTTACAATTAATAGCAATTCCAATGTTGAATCCAATAATACAAAGTTTAATCCAATGAAAAGAAGAAGAAAATTGGAGAAGAAAGGTTAAGGGAAGAGGAAAAATGATGGAGAAGAAGAAGAAGAAGAAAGAAGGGGAAGAGAGAAAGAGAGTTCGTGCTTTCACGGGACCTAGGGTTTGCACCCCGGTCGAGTTGGAAGTGAAAGAATGGAGAAGAAAACGAGTTTTGGGGGTTTTTATACCATTTTGGGACTTGCAGGGGGCCTTAGCGCCGCTAAGGAGGGTTAGCGGCGCTAAGGAATGAAAGCTGGTAGCCTCTGAAGTCGCTAACATTTCATAGCTCCGCTAAGGCCAGGCTTAGCGCCGCTAAGGTGTCTGGCAGCGCAACTTTGTGTTTTTGGCTCGTTTGGGCTCGTCCGAACTCGAAATTGAGCTCCGTTTTTTCCTACGCGTCGCTAACGAGCCCCTCTTTCTAATGGTGTCAGCCTCCCCAAAAGATTCTCGAAAATCTGTTCTCCCGGGGTCTCCAAACTACACACCAAAAACGAAAAGAGAACAGAAAAAGACCAGAAAACAAACGGAAAACACCGCAACACTCAAAAGAACGCAAAACACGTAATAAATGACAAAAATATCCTAAAACCACCTAAATGACTCAATACGGGGGAAAAAGAACGGCAAAAAGACAACGAAAAACACAACAAAAATGGGACAAACAACCATCAATCCTACAATCTTCTTCCAACTATTCGGAGTGATTTGAAAAAGAGCGAGACACTAGTCCCTCAAATAACCTTAAACCCGACCTGAGAGACTCGGCAAAAACCCCAACGCAACCCGGAGGAGGGGAAGTGATTCTTTCACCCGGATAAGGAGCAAACAATTTAACCGACTATGGAACTCGAACTTGTTTTCGTAAGAGAACCACATCCGCATCCGTCAGAATGCTCGGTTCGCCCTCATAATCTATAGTTGTATCAAGCCACCTCCTTTCCGGTCATTTCCAATGATTCTCTAACACCATTGCGTTTGCCTCAACCAACTCATCCTCCTCGATACTATTCGGCTTCACCTCTAGATGAACAACATAGCTCGGATCCCATCGGTAATATTCGTATGCCAACTCCACGAGTTCAGAATCGTGATACATCGAGAGTGATTCCTAAATAGTCCTATCCGAAGACTCTTCACCACCAGTGTTCTTCGAAGCCGTGACTTATCTCCGAAGATCGAAAAATAAAGTTGAAAAAATGAAATGCGAGAATTGAAATATGCAGATAAAGCTTACCCTACAATTCACGAAACACAGAGACAACGTAGACTCGAGAATCTCAAGTGAATCGAGGGATAAACTCTTGAAAGAAAATTACAGACTTCACACTTCAGAAATGATGCGCAGAATTTGGAATTAGTAAAAGTAAAAAATCCTGCCAAAGTTTGAGGATGTCAATTTATAGTCGACAAATTATGACCGTTGGGTCATTAAATTATGGGCGCGTAGGAATCACGCTCCCCGTTACCCCAAGCGCCACGACCTTTCTGTTGCCAAAACCTATACCATACGTGTCGGCCTACGAAGACAACCGTTACTCGCCTTTAAACCATTGCGGCTTTTCACCATACGTCACCCGAATTAATGAGAATAGCCGTTGCGCCGTTTCAAAAGTTAAAGTACCTACTGCCATTCCCAAGCCAAGTCGCCACACCATCTAAGAACTTTCATCTCGGTATCTATACATATTCGTAATATCAGAGTAAAGCAATCCTGACACACAATCATGACTAAGTCCGGAACTTCTCTCAGACCAAAATTTTGTTATAAACCTCTACATTGTCAGCGATTATCATTATTATATGACCGCTAACAACGGGGGCCTCTCTGTTATCACTCAACTCGTTAATTCATATTACCCAAGTAATTACGCAACACCAAGTAGCTCCACTTCGGTCCACAACACCAAATGGCTCACAACTTCGAATCAACTGGGTTGCACCAAACCGAGGTCAACCGAAACCGAGCTCACCACAATCAAAGCTAGTGAATTGCACCCTCATGATGCTTACGCAAACCAAGACCCACTTCATGATTACAAGTGGGCCCATGACAACCGCCGCCCATACAGTCCCTTAATAAAGAAAAGCTACCGTACATTTCTCGATTCTAGAGACAAAAAGTTTACTATAAATAGTTGATTCTAACACTTGTACAGGGATCGAATCCCAAACATTGATTCATTTACACGCAACAGCACATAATAGCTTTTCACCTCGGTTCACCTCGGACCGGGGCCATCGTATTTGTTTTATTTCGCAATCTTCATCAATTACTCACATAAATCGATCCAGCATCAGTATAAACCCGTTGTTTTAATACACATAACAATAGTTGAAACTATATTTTATTTCTATTTAATATTTTTCAAATTATATAGGATCAAAATTGGGATAAAATATATTAATATCACACATCTACTTTTATAATTTGGTTCTTAATTTTGGTATGGTACGAGACATTTTAGTTCGATTCTCGGTTCGGAGATTTTTGAAATCTCCAAAAGCGTACTAATTATTTGTTCGTTTCGTTTCGGTTTAGAGAAAGTCAACGGTCAATGCTTATTTTTCAGTTCGAAGTGATTCAGTTCAATTTTTGGGATGGTTTAGAAATTATCCGAGTCTCGTGCTCAGCCCTACTAGCAGCGCTAGGCTTTTAGTAAAAAAAAATACACTGTTACACATTCATCTCATAAACTAATTACATTGTAATTCAATTTCTTAAAATTTAACGCATGTAAAAAAGTGCGTAATTGTGCACTTTTGATTTTGACTCGGTGGGTCATTGCGTAGAATACACTGTTGCATTAATGCGTACTCTCGAAATTACTAATATGCATTTAACCTATCACTATTGTGCGGTCTGCACACATGTATTTTTTAATGTGCCTAATATCATACAATTTTACTATATTAGTTAAATATTCATCTATTATTTGTTATAAATTACAGTTTTGCCACATAGGATAAAGTGAAAAATAATAAAATTTTATAAAATTATAACTAGATCCCTTAATAGTATCCATGCTCCTTAAAAATAATCTTAATAAAGTTTGCAGCTCGTCTCTGTTAGGCTAGCCCACAGTCGTCGTCTACCTTCCCTTGTTCATCGCCGCGTGGACGGCGGTCCTCCCGTCAGGGTCCATCGCGGACCACGAAGCTGCGACGCTGGACAATGGGAGTTCGCTCTGCCATGTCTCTGCTGACCGATAACTGTGGAAGAGTTAAGTCGTTTGTGTCTGGTTCGCCGACAATCTCAGGTCTCCGGATGGGCAGATGATTAACGAATTTGAGGTGGCGCGACACTGTGGTAGGTGTATACGGCAGCTGAAGCGGTGCGGAGCGGACTGAGGCCACGAAGTTGTCAACAACGAGCAGATGCGCGGCGGCAGATGAGACGACGGAGCACCAGCGTTTGGTGGTTGTGGGGCGACGATGGGTGGTGTGTCTGTGGGAGGTCAGAGGCGAGTGGATCGGCTCTGTGTGTAGGCGTGTGTAACTGTGTGTGCAAGTGTGTGTACTCTGTATGCGTGGTGTGTGTGAGAAAGAGAGAGGATGTGTGGGATGGTGTAATGGTAGTGGCCACGTAACATATAATTATTGGGTATGAGTGAGTAACTAGTACAACGTCCGTGTATTACACGGGTGTTTGTTAAACTTTTTACTTAAAATTTAAAATTAATGAGAAAAAATAGTTGAAAATTTAAATACTTTATATATATATATATTATTTTAGTATGACATTTGTTACTTGTGCGACTTACAATTTTTCTAACTTATAACATATAACTATATTAAACATTAATATATTAATTGAGAAATAATATTAGTTTTTGATTAATTTAATAAATATTTTTTTATTATGATAAAGATAAATATAATTTATTTATTTTATATATACAATATGGATGTCAAATCGAAACTCATCAAAAGATAATTAATTTTATACATTATATACGTAAAACCGATAAGAAATACAACAGTTATCAACTTTTAAAATACATTTACATTCAATTGTTACAATAGGAAATGATATTAAAATACAAATTAATACATCTAAAATGATCATAAATAAATCAACATATTTATGGTAATCCGAACTTAATTAATTTTGGATTGAAATTAAATTAAAATCTATCCAAGCCAAATAACAAAGCATGAAATTTTGACACATAGGATTCCGAAACATACGAGTCTGCCACTTAGGCTCATCACATTCGGAAATTATATATAGGGAGGAATTATATATAGGGAGGATTGGTATGAATCTCACACTGATTATAAAATTATAAAATGTTTAAAATATTCTTAGAGAAAATATAATAAGAGCTGAATTTTTTGTTTTGAAACTTTTGATAATAAATGTCTAAAATATTGTTAGAGAAATATAAATGCTAAAATTTTTTGTTGCGTAAAGACCATCTCATGAAATGACAAAAATTTATTTTTATTTGTTTCACTTAGTTTATAGCTTCAATTCCATATTACGTCTAACTCAAACAAATTAATCAGCAAACGAAATCACAGTCCATTTCCATGAATTCAGCATTTCCATTAAAGATATGATTTCCCATCTACGGCCTACAGTTTCCAAATAATTTTGGGTTACTATAACTTGAATGTTCCCAATAAACAAAAATTATTGAAACTACCCAAACCTTCAATTCCAACCCCTCCAAATTCCTAAAATTTCAATCCAGTCCCAAAAAATTAATTCCTCCCACCAATTTGCCAAAACCCTCCCCTCCCTTACCCTCAGGCGTACTGAGCCAGCGGCACCACCTCCTGTAGCGGCGTCGACATCGGCGTCGGCAGCGGCGAACTCCGGCAGACGGGACAAGACGCCCTCATCTTCAGCCACGCGTCCACGCACATCACGTGGAAACGGTGGCCGCAGTCGGGTAGCACCCTCAGCACCTCCTTCTCCCCGTACTCGCCCAGACATATCGCGCAAACAGCGTCGTTCCCACGATCCCCACCGCTGACGCTCGCGTACGCGATCTTCGGGTACGTGCTGATGACCGCCGGATCTAGCCCGACGGCATCATCCTGAAACCCTCCGCCGCCGCCGTCGTCGTCCTCGGCGACGAAGATCACGCGCGGGAGGCGGTAGGTGCTGATCTCGACCGGCCGGTTCGGGCCGGGATAGGGATTTGTGCTCTGGCGGCGGCGGCGGGCGGCGCCGGATCGGAAGCATAAGTAGACGGAGAAGACAGTGGCGGAGGAGAGCACGATGAATCCGAGGGCGACGGCGATGGCGTAGCCGGGGCTGATGCCGGAGACGTCATTGGGAGGCGGGGGAGAGTTGGGATCGGCGGAGAATAGAGGGGTCAGCGGCGGAGGTGGCGGCGGAGCCTGAGACATGGGGAGAATAAGGGCGTGGGAGGGGCGAAAAGAGCCATTTGATTGTTGGGGGAAAATGGGGGAAAATGGGCTTCTGAGTTGTAGCATTTAGCGCTGGCGTTTGAAAACGGAAACCACTCATCCAGTGGTCAACGGGGGACTTTATGGTATTTTATGATAGATTATGCAAATTAATTATTTAGTAAATATATAATGTAGATAAAATATTTTGTGAAAATGCATACTTCATGAAAAAA